TTGTGGCATTTCACTTGATCATTCACACACACTTCTTTTTATAATATTATTATTACAATTTTAATCATTCAAACATATTTTATCATTTGATAAACTAATTACAATTTCACTCGTTCACATTTTGTTTTAAAACAAATTACAACTGATCAATGCAATTAATTAATTATAATGTATGATCAAAATGTGTACCACTTTTTTCTACACAGTATCTACTTACTGATTTTTTTTTACTCTGCACTCTCTTTTAAAAAGAACTTTATTATTCTTTCATTTATCCTCATAACATTTCCCTGACAAAAGAGCTATATCTAACAGGTGGTTTAGAACTAGAACCCAGGCCTTTCATGCAAAATCTCAACTAAGACCACCTGAATTCAAATGACAATCATTAAATTTCATATTTTAATTAGAAAAAAAGTAGGCTCATCAGTGACTCCTCTCTTACAAATTGGCTCGAATTTTTATCTATTCCAATTCTTCAAAATTTCACAGGTTTATCTGTCTTCTCTGTAACAAGAATCTTATATAAAATCCTTAATTGCAATATTAACTGTACACATAAAGACCCTGAAATGATAAATGTTTTGTTACAAATACACACAATTTTATACAAACAAAATATCCTCTCATTTGACTTCAAGGCCATCTTCCATTCTCCCCCCTTGAATCTCCTACTAAAATACTGTGAGAAGGAACTTTGAAAAATGCAATTTGATGTTTCAATCCTATGTATTAAAACGTCTGATGATTTGCTACTGCCTAAACTTTCAAAAACTCACTTTTGATGCAACTCATAGCACTCCTGTGAGTTTCCAAGGCTGTAAAGTGCTGGGAAGGAGAATGCTCATCATTTTCATACAAAGCACCTGGTGGTGGTGGTGGTGGTGGTGGAGGTGGTGGTAAGTACTGTCAGAATCCACTCATAACCGACCCTCCAGTGGGTTTTCAGAGGCAATAAACTGCATGGGAGAAGACTGCCCATCTTTCTCCTATAAAGCAGTTGGTAGATTCAAACCATTGGGATAGCAGCTCGATTCCTTACTACTACTAGGCATCGTGATAGTTGTTATGTGCCACGGTGTCGACTAGAACACATAGCAATCCTATGAACAACAACTCCTCTGAACTGTGCCCTATCCTGAACCAATCTCACCATCTCAGACATATCTATCCCCACTGCCACAGTCTCCGTGTCAGTTCATCTTATCGAGCATCTTCCTCTCCTGTGCTGACCCTCTACCCTTCCAAGTATGATGTCTTTCTCCAAGAATTGGTACCTCCTGGCAACATTCCCAAAGTATGTGAGCTGGAGTTTCAAAATCCTTTCCTGAAGGAGCAACCTGGTTTCATCCTTTACAGAACAGACATGTTTGTTCTCTTGGTAGTACATGGTATGTTCAACACTCTTCTCCAGTACACAACTCAAAGGCATCAATTCTCCATCCGTCACCCCTAGTCATTTATTGGCCAGTTCTGAGATGCATAGCAAGCAACTGAGAAAACCATGGCCTGGATCAGGTGATGTTAGTCTCTAGAGTGATGCTAGTGCTCTTTAGGACTCTAAAGCAACTTGTCTATTGATTTCCTGACTGCTGGCACCAAGAGTGTTGACTGTCGATCCAAACTAGATAAAATTGTTAACAACCTCAATCTTTTATCTATCATGATGCCTGTTGGCATAGTGGTGAGAATCTTTGTTTTCTCAATGTTGAGTTGCAATCCATATTGAAGACCACAGCCCTTGATCTTCTGGTAGTAAATGCTTCAAGTTCTCCTCAATTTTGGCAAGCAAGGTTATGTCATCTGCATAATGCGGCTTGTTGATGAGTCTTCCTCAAAACCTGATGCCACATTCTTGTTTACACAGTCCAACTTTGTGAATGATCAGTTATGTATATAGATTGAACATAATACGGCAAAAGGATACATCCCTAACACGTTCCCTTCTTGATTTTGAACCATGTAATGTGCAGTGTTCCCTTGTTCTGTTCGCACAACAGCTTCTTGGTCTAGATATAGGTGTGTATGAGCACAATCAAGTCTTCTAGGATTCCCATTCTTCTCAATGTTAGCCTAACTGTTGTGATCCACACAGTCAAATGCCTTTGCATTGTCAATAAAACACAAAGAGACATCCTTCTGGTACTTTCTGCTTTCAGCCACAAGATCCATCTAACATTGGCAATGATTTGCCACAGCCTCTTCTGAACTCAGTTTGTATTTCTGACAGTTCTCTGTCAATGTATTGTTTCATTAGGTTTTGGATAATCTTTAGCAAGGTATCTCCCTTGCATGTGATATTAGTGATTTTGTTGCACTCTGATGCATCACTTTTGGGGGGAATGGAATATGGATCTCTTCCAGTTAGTTAGCCAGGTAACTGTCCTCCGAATTTCTTTGGCACAACTTGATGAGTACAGCCAGGGCTGTATCTGCTTGTTGAAATACACCAGTTGGTAGTCTATCAATTCCTGCAGCCTTATTTTTTGCTGATTCCTTCAGAGCAGCTTGAACTTCTTCCTTTAAGACCACTGGTTCTTGCTCATATGCTACTATATGAAACTCTTCTGTAGCAGTCAATTCTTTTTGGTGACTCTGCATATTCCTTCCTTCCATCTTCTTTTGATGCTTCCTGGATCATTCAATATTCTGCCCATTGCATCTTTAAGTATTACCAACTCAAAATCTGAATATTTTTCATTTCTTCAGCTTGAGAAACACTGAGAGAGTTCATTCGTTGATCTTCTAACTCCAGCTCTTTGCACATTTTGTTATGTAAAACTTTGCTCTGTATTCCGACTTGTCCTTTCTGTTCTATTCTTTAACTTCTGTTCTATTCTTTAACTTCCTGACTTCTTCCCTTTGTTTTGGTTTCCTGGCATGCTAGTGCAATATTCAGAGTATCTTTTGACATACATTTTGGTCTTTTCTTCTTCCTATGTATTTAAAATTACCTTTTACTAAGCCACTACACACATGGAAATTTCTGTTATTCTAAGAATTTATCAAAGGTATTCAGAAAAGCAAATATTCATGACAACTAAGTGATAGAGATGGCTGCATCCTTAAATATTTGGAACCTCCTACTGTTTATCTACTAAACATACACACTAAAATATTTTTTATGTGTTATAACAAAGAAAACTATAACAAACTATGTATTATAACAAAGAAAAGTAACATTAACTCAGGGTTATGTTTCATTCAACAATTACTTTCATGTTTATTTGAGAGAGTAGAAAATGTGCTCATGGTTTTAATTTGATAACATATACGAGTCTTTTCCCTCAGTTCACATAAAAGAGTTAAATGTATGCTTAACATGTTGCCGCACACTTTTTAAACTGGTAACCGTGCTTAGAAACATATTTGCTGTCATTTGTGGCAACGTGTTAAACAAGAACAAAAAACAAATGTGTCTTGGTGGAAGTGCAATCAGGGTGCTCTTTAGAGTTAAGAATGGTAAACGGTCATCTTACTTATCCTGAGATGTTAGGAGGGACCAGACCTTAGGAAAAAGACATCATGCTTGGGAAAATGGAGAGGAGGCAAAAGAGAGGAAGACCCCTATAGAGATGGACAAATGCCAATAACAAAACTGTGAGGATGGTATAAGATAAGGCAAGCTTTGACCTCTTGTTCACAGGACCACCATGAGTTATCTACAGCACCTGACTACAACAGCAACAATGTACTTGTCTTCTTCAACTAACCTGGGACCCACTGGGGTACAGAATTAGGTCCAAATTTCATAGTCTGTCCTACATCTCTGTCTTGAACCTATCACTCTTGCTCCAATTTCTGGTATAAGTTCTTTCCTCTGACTGAGATGTCCTTTCACCAACTAGTTCTTTATCTGGGAAAATCCAATCTGTCCTTTAACTCTGAGATTACATAATTGCCTATCTATGAAGAATTATTTTCTAATTCTTCACTGATGTATCTTTCCCATTGTTTTTTACTAAATACCAGTTTACCAAGGACAGAAACAATAAACTATTTACTTTTAAATCATAAATATCTCAATAAACATATGCTACAGAAATTAGTTCAAATGAGTGAGAGAACAAGACTACTGATTACTAATAACTATGGCATTTATTTGTTTTCAAACCTTTTATTGTGATTTGATTTTCTTAACTGTTGAATTTTCTGCAGTTCCTATCTATTTCCATTACAGTACATAACACATTCTAACATGACATACAATAGTGTTAGAGGGCTTTTAATCAATGCCTTATAGCCAGAACAAAACATCAAATAAATAAAAATCATATGAGAAACATGTCAATATTTCATTTTGGGAAAGTTTCTTTAAAATATATAATACTTGAGTTAAATTAAAATTTTAAATGTTAAATTAAAAATTTAGTCAATTCTACAATACTGACTGTAAATGTAAAGTATTTTAATTCAATGACAATAAATATTAAATTACCTTTTATTTATCTCATTTTTAAAAAGTTATTATACAATTCAATGCATTCTTTGTCCTTACATAAAAACGTCTGGTTCAGTTTCTATTAATTTTGGGACTCAGATATTAAACAACAATCAGTATTAAATAACAGTATGATGAAATTGCATTTTTAAAAAGGCAAAAACACTTTTTCCATAATTCCTACATTACTGAAAGTGAAAGTCTATGGGAAAAAAAGTCTGCTGAAAACAGTTCTTATCATGTTAGAAATAAATACCATGCTTTTGAAATTTTATCATCTGCCAATATCCTCCTTAATATTTTTTATCCCACCAGCAAGTCTCCATTAATTTACCTATATCATCACGGGGGATATAAGCAGGCAGAAGGCATTCTTAACATGTGCAAAGGCTTATAGTTTACCTTTGTATTAAATATTGTAGTTGCCTGAGTCTGACTGTTTAAGGCCTCTGGCCTATGAACAGTGCTCATAATGGATATGGCTGCTTTAAAAGTCAGTATTTTAAGATGAAATCTGAAAATACCAGATGGAAGGAAAAAAACAATCAGAACTACTTACGGCCAGCAAGCAGGAACTGATAATACTGTACTGCATCGGCAGCAAGGAGTAGGGGGTGGTTCGCGTTAAATGGTGGTTGCAACTCATTCCATTGAGGGGTTCTATGGAAACAGCAGAAGAATATTAATATTTAAACTTAAGAGATGGATGTAAATCATTATCACTGTCATCACTTATAGATACTGCTATAAACTCACACTATCTGTATAATCATTAAAATGAACTTGTTGGAGTGTTGAATCACAAGTCCATTTATTTAAGAAGACTAAAAAATCAGCAGTGATTTAGACAAATTATACGTAGTAAATATTAACTCAACAGTAAAAGACTTCGCAGTAAGGAAGGAAAAGGACAGAATGTCGAACAATGTTTTAACTCACTTTTAATCATTATCAAAGCTTTACTGTTAGAATACATGTATATTTTAAAAGAAAGCAACTTTATAAAATCCACAGCTACTTAACTGGAGAACTTATTATACACCTAATTAACATCTGCATCCTAAAATTAGCTACCTATTTCAACAATGATGATGCTATAATTTTAATTAGATTTGCTCACTCCTAAATAGCTTGATAACTCAGATACTGATTAGATCAATCCAAAAGCTGTAAAGTAGTATTAAAGAATGCTGGAGCCTCCAAAAATCAATATAAGGGTATTTTAAAATGTCAAAAGCAGAGGGATCATTTTCATATCCATTTTTGTCTGTTTCCTTCCATATACGTCAGGAGCAATTTTTCTGTCTCTCCTGGACAATGCACTATCTTGAGCTATTTCCAGGTTTTTATTTCTCTCTCTTTGTGCTAGCTTGTAAAGATTCTAATCATTATGCACTTTTGGGAAGGACTTAATTCCTAATAAACATTTTTACAGTGCTTAGCCATTGTATCTTGGAGAATCACTTTAAAGAAAACCTTCTAATCTATTTATGTAAGATTCTATTCCCCTTAATGGCCACCTCAATGCTATCCTGTGTTTTAGGGAGTTTAAGACTAGAAATAAGGGTGGCACTGAGATGCTCTGTGTACAATAGAAAAGGAAATCCAAGGGGAGGTAATACAAAGAAGTAAGTCAGAAAAATTCAAAAGGAGGTAATTCCATAGGTATATAGCCAGGAAAATGAAAAATGAATGCATACTTAAAAATGTGCATACAAATGATAAATGCATATTTATTCCAGTTAAGTGAAAAAAGTAGCAAACCATTTGTCTATCTGTTTCAATGGATAAATAAAATGTAGTATAGCCATACAATGGAATACTATTCAGCCATCAAAGAAATGAAGTACAGATTACATGTTAAAACATGATGAGCCTCAAAAGCCTTATTTTAGGGAGCTCTAGTGGTCTACTGGTAAGAAGTTGCATTACCAACCCAAAGGCATTTGGTTCAAATCCAACAACTGCTCCATGAAAGAAGTATGGGCAACCTCTTCCTGTGTGATTTACTACTCTGGAAACCTGGTGGATGGTCAGTGGTAACACAGTTCTGACTCAAGGAAACATAATAACAAGTAAAAAAAGCCAAACCCAAAAGGCAAGCATTGTATGGTATAACATGACCAAAATAAGCAAATCCATCGAGACTGGTAATAGCCTAAATCTAAAGGATTAAGAGGAAATGGGCTAGAGGGCACAGAGTTTAATTCCAGGAAAATATTCCAAAACTGACTGTGGTAATGGTTACATAAACATATGAAAACTAATTTTAAAGGAATAAAATTTGATGGTACATGAATTTATCAGTTAAAATAAAATGGACTGAATTACATCTATCAGCATGGAACAATCTCAAACCAATTTTCCTGAATAAAAAGACACGCCACCTCCCCAGAAAAGAGTACATATTGCATGGCTGTATTGCGATGGGAAAGTCTGCTGTTAGGGACCTCTCTAAAGTACTCAAGAGCAACGGTGTCTCTCTGGAGACTAAGGTGCACCTGATACAGGCCATGGCCTTTGCAATCACTTGTTATGCATCAGAGAGTTGGACAATGACTAGGGAAAATAGAAGGAGAATTGATGACTTTGAGCTGTGGTGCTGGAGGAAAGTATTGAATGTACCCTGGACTACCAAGAAAACAAACAGAGGGTTAAACCAGGCTACTCCTCGGAGGCAAGGATTCTGGGGCTTCGTCTGACATACTTTGGACATGTTGTAAGGAGAGACAGGTCCTTGGAGAGAGACATCATATTTGGTAGAGTGGAGGGACAGTGCAGGAGGGGAAAACCCTCTATGAGATGGACTGATTCAGTGACTAGGGTAATCAGGATAGGTGTGTCAAAGGCCATGCGACTGGCACAGGATAGAGCAGGGTTTAGGGCTGTTGTACATAGGGTCGCTATGAGTCGCAAATGACTCGACGGCACATAACAACAACAACAACAACAAGATTAGGTAAACTAATCTATAGTATCTGAAGGAAGATCAGTGTTTGACCAGGACGTAAGAGGAAAAGAAAGAATGGGAAAATTAGAGTGTAATGGGTATGTTTAGTACACTGATTGCCATGGCTTCACAGATATATATATACACATCAAAGCTTATAAGATTGGAGGTGTGGGGAGGGGATCCTACCTGACCAGAGTCCAGCTGGCTCGAGGTGATGTCATCATTTCCAGAGGGGTGTCATCGCTAATTTTGGGGGCAGTGCTGAGGGGTCGTGGTTCCATCATATGTTCCACTAATGTCCCATAGCAGCTGATAATGTAGAGAGATTCAACTACAACTTGTTTTGACTGATCTAGGAGAAAGAGAAGCAGAATCTGTATATCTGATGATGGTGTAAAATGAGCACAACTATAATTTTCACAAGTTACTAACTCTGTCTGTATGCTGAGGCTGATAAGGGAAAATGAGGAGGTAAAGAATTTTTCATATGAGGTACTCTTCTTGCTTAGTGGTTCCCTTTCTCAAGGAGCTAATAATGAATTTGAAAACCTCTACATTTTCAAAGATTTAACAATGTATTTAAAACAATGCAGACATAGCTTAATAGTTTAATGTAGTCAAACAACGGTTTATAATCATTTGTATTAACAATATAATTTGTCCTACACAAATGCAAAGCCTCATCATCCTTGCCTCCAAAGAGCACTCCGGCTGCACCCTCTCCAAGACATATTTGTTTGTTCTTTTGGCCATCTTGATGTTCAGTGCTCTTCTCCATCACCACTACTCAAAGGCATCAATTCTTCTTCTGTTATCCTTATTCACTGTCCAGCTCTCAGATGCATAGCAAGTGATCAGAAAGACCATGACCTGAATTAGAAGCACCTTAGTCCACAGACTGACATCATTACTCCTCAATAATTTGGAGAGGTATCTAACTGCAGACTTCCCCAGTGCAATGCGTCTTCTTATTTCCTGACTACTGGTACAAAGGGTGTTAACTGAGGATCCAATTAAGATGAAAGTACCGACAGTATCAAGTTCTTTTCTATCCATTAAGATGTTGTCTATCAGTCCAGTGGTAAGAATCTTTGTTTTCCTGACATTGAGATGCAATCCATATTGAAGGTGACATTTCTTGACCTCCTGCAACAAGTGCTTCAAGTCCTCCTCACTTTCAGCAAGCAAAGCTGGGTCATCTGCATAACACAGGTTATTGAAGAGTCTCCCTCATCACTGAGTATGTAATCAAGATGAGTTCATGATAATTGATGACTGGAATACAAAAATTGGGAACTGTGAAGAAGGAATAGTAGTTGGAAAATATAGGCTTGGTGACAGAAATGAAGCTGAAAATAGAAGGATCGAATTTTGTATTTAGAGTGATTTATTTATTACAAATACCTTTAAAAAAAACCAACCACACAAATGATGACTTTACACATGGATATCACCTGATAGGCTCCATAGGAATCAGAACGACTACATCTGTGGAAGAAATTGTTGGAGGATCTCAATGTCGGCAGTCAAAACTAGTTCAGGGGTGGACTATGGGTTAGATCATCAATTATCCATATGCAAGTTCTAATTGAGGCCAAGGAAAATTTAAGTTCACAGGAACCAAGATATGATCTTGAATCAGTTTCATCTGAATTTTAAGATTCTCTTAGGAAAAGGCTTGAGGCACTGAACACCAATGATCAAAGACTAGATACTGTCCATAGCATCATTCAATATAGCAACTCAAGGCTTAAATTCGTTTTTCAGTTCTCTCAGCTTGAGAAATGCAGAGGGAGTTCTTCCCTCCTTATTCTCCAATTACAGCTGCTGCACATTCCATTATAGTACATTGCTGTCCTTTGAACTATTTTGTTGTTTTTTTCTTAGGCAAGTGGGCCCAGTTTAAAATTAGGAAGGTTGTGCATCACAGTTACATTCTTTTTCCATACTTATCCAATATGTATGCAAGGCAAATCATTCAAAAAGCAGGACTCTATAAAGAAAAATGTGGCATCATAATTGGAGTAAGTCTCAACAATCTACATATTATAAATGGAACAACTTTGCAGAAAGTAGAGAAGAGTTAAAGCACTTAATAAAAATGATCAGAGACTATAATCTTCAATATAGATTAATTATATCTCAAGTCAACAAAAACCCTCACCAATGAGCAATAAATATTGAAGTTGTCAATCACCTCATTTTATATGTGACCATAATCAGCACAGACAGTAGCAGCAGTCAAGAAATAATAATATATGTTGCACTGAGCAAATCTGCTGTCAAAGATCTCTTTTAAGTGCTAAAGAGCAAGGATGTCTGTTTCAAGACTAAGGTGAGCCTGACCCAAGTCACTGTATTTTCAATAGTTTCTTATGCATGTGAAAACTAGATCATGAGTAAGGAAGACTGAAGAAGAATTTATGTATTTGAATTGTGGTGTTAGTGAACAATACTGTATATGCTATGGACTGTAAAGAAAAAAAAATCTATCTTGGAGAAAGTGCAACTATGGTGATCCTTAAAGACAGTAATTGTGAAACTTCATCTCACACACTTATGCATGTTATCAAGAGGCATTTTTTTTCCCGTAAGGAAAAAAATCCCCAAACATTAAATTGAAAAAGTAGAGGGCTATCAAAAAGAGAGTAAGATCATCAAGGAGACTGACTGACACAGTGGCTGCAACAATAGGCTTTAGCTTGAAGAAGACTGTGAAGATGGCGCAGGATAGGGTAAGGTTTCAATTTGTTGTTCAAAGAGTCACTATGTGTTGTAATCAACATGAGTGGTAGTTGTCTGACAGGATCTAAAATAATAACCATTAAGTAATTTCAGGATCAGAACAAAAACCCAAAAAGTGTATGTGTTCCCTCCCAAATTCTCTTATTTTTCTCAATGAGATCACTATTTGCTCCCCTCACCTTCACAGTAAGTGAGGACTGGCCATACTCTAAGGTTCAGTTGCTGAATATGCATCTAATCAAATGACTTTATAAGGAGTACACATGTCTTAACTACCACAACAGGTTTTGTCCTCTATCTCAAGTTGTATAGTAAACCTAAGAACACATAAAATCCCTCATGAATGCTAGGTGGGTCACCTTATCATTGTCCCAGACGAATCAATTACAGCTGATTAGAGAAAATGGCTAATGACCAGCCAGAGGAATAAAAAAGAGCAGCAAGTTAAAAGGGTAATTATAACAGAAGGGAGAAGCATTTGAAATTGAGCTTCACAGAAAGTTTTAACTAGTAACAAAAAGTCCTTTCGATAGCATCACCAAAGGTAAGAAGGTAACAAAAAATAAAGATGGGATAAGGAAATGGAAGGCTTGCATACTTTACTTGTCCTCTCCCACTTATGTAAGAAACCTCCTGTACTTGAGATCCTATTTCCAAGAGAAGGGTCAAAGAAAGGCGATAAGAAGGGAAAAGGTGAATGTCGGATTGCCAGTATGAAGCACAAAGGAAAGCCATTTTGCCAAGAACAATGCAGCCTGCAGAGCTAGACAGAGAAATGCCCCACTAACAAATCAGTTTGTGACCTACTTTATGATAGTCTGAAAATAATGAAAGGAAAATTTTAACACTCAAAAATATATACCTAATCTATGAATACAGACATTTTCTTTAACACGGAAATAATAATTAATTCTAAAACAAGAACTATATTAACATTTCTGGGGATTAATCCTTATGGTCAAAGGAGGGAAAGAAACAAAAACTATACCTACTTCTTAACTAACAAATATAGTTAGGTTCAGACCAAGTTGTTAATGTAAAACACAGCATTTTTTTTTTTAGGGTTTCCATTCACTTACTGTTGCATTTTGTTGCCATTGATCCTTTAATTTGTAAACCACTAGAGTTGTTTTGGAGTTATAACTGGAAGACCCTAGGTACTAGAATTTTAGCAAATATATTTAAACTCACAGATCTCAAGTCTTTCATCTCTGTGCTTTTAAGGGTATATTGCTCAAAATGGCTTCCCTAGCCACTGACTTTGATTGTATCATCTGGATATGCAGAAATATGTGAATAAGGCACAAGGAAGAATTCAAGATACTAAAGAGCTGAACAGAAGATTCCAAAAGGCTGCTCGGAATGACAAAGCAAAATACTACAATGAAATGTGC